CACCATATCCACCATGACCGAGAAGTGTACGATCTAGGATGTCATCTTCTGAATATTGTTCGATACGTCCTTCCTGAACGCTCTTAACTAGCCACTCCTTATCTGTGTTGTGACCTTGAGACATTAAGTGTGGATCGTTGATGAGAGGCTGAAGCTCATCTGTTTCCAGTAGTGGTACGGTGTGTAACACGTAATACAGCCGTACCTCGTACCTCAGTTTATTTTTCTCTAAACCCTTGGTTTTTTATGGTAATCAGATCTCCCAAAAAATTTAAGCAACCAACTTCTATAGGGTCATCGAAAAACATTTTCTTCATTATACAGACATTACATCTCGCAAGAAAGAAAAAGACACGTATTCATTCCACGCAAAAACTCCAAATCACCTACTCATTTTCATATATCATTCTCGTTGGGTATGCAACATAATAATCATACTTAATACGGATAAATCAGTATATTAATAAATTTATGTATAAATACAGTTTGTTAATTAAATGACATCATCGATTCTTTAGATGCTAGTAATATCTTTTGATGACATTATTATGTCATCCTTGCTAAAAGTCAGAAATATCTACGTTTTAATTCATGTTTTCTATTAGTCTTTCACTTTTATATTACAGAGTTGTATAACTCCTTTCTAGACGATATTACAATACATCTATGATACTTGTTCAATCCTTAGCGAATTATTGAAATCATTTACCGCATTACCTTGTTTTTCAAGCAAAACCTGGACCTCTTCCCTTAATTTTAATGCTCGTGCATTTCCTGGTTTAATATTCAATGACTTGTTGAGATCGTTCATAGCATCTTTATACTGGTTACTCACAAGATAGACATTCGCCCTCTTTTTCAATGTCCATGCATCATTCGGTTCAATCTTTAACGATCTATTGAAATCGGCTAATGCATAGTCATACTGTTTAAGCAAACTATAGACACTTCCTCTTCTGCCCAACGCGTACGCATCATCTGGTCTGATAGTCAATGCTTGGCCGAAATCATTCAGTGCATCGTTATATCGAGAAAGCAGGCGATAGATGTTACCTCTTTGGTTCAATGTATATACGTCGTTGGGTTCAATTGCCAGTGATTTGCTGAGATCATGTAACGCGTTCTCATATTGTTTGAACGAGCGATAAAGGGCTCCCCGTCTACTCAATGTCCATGCATTATTTGGATCAATTTCTAATGATTTATTGAGATCGTATAACGCCTTGTCATTCTGTTGAAGCGTGTGATAAACCGCTCCCCTTATACTCAGTACCCATGCATCATTTGGTTTGATTTCCAATGACTTGTTAAAGTCATTCAGTGCATTGTCATATTGCCCCAGCAAGAAATGCATATCCCCTCTTCTACGCAATGCCTCTAGATTATTCGGTTCAGCTTCCAATATTTGGTTGAGATCATGTAATGCATTGTCATCTTGTTCAAGCATACTCGCGTTCAGCGGGTCAACCTCTAATATTGTGTCGAGACCCTTCCCACCCTTGCCACGTGAATTAAGCGCACGATAAACTTCTGCCCTTTTATTCAGTGCTCGCGCATTATCTGGTTCCATCTCCAATACTTTATTGAGATCGTTCAATGCATCGTCATACTGTCTAAGCGTGTAGTAAAGAAATGCTCTTTTCCGTAATGTCCATGCAGCATTTTGTTCAATCTCTAACGATTTGTTGAGATCAGTCAATGCCCTGTTATACGTTTTAAGCATGCGATAAACTTCTCCTCTTCTACTCAACGCAAATGCATCATCCGGTTCAATAGCTAACGACTTGTTGAGATACTCTAAGGCCTCGTCATACCGTTCAAGCATACGCAAGGCATCCCCCATTCTACTCAATGCAAATGCATTATCTGGATCAATCTCCAACGACTCGGCGAAATCTTTCAGTGCATTGTCATCCTGTCCAATCATACAGTAGACTCTGCCTCTTCGACTTAACGTGAATGCGTCATTTGGATCAATCTCTAATGATCTGTTGAAATCATTTAACGCGGCATCATATTGTCCAAGCATACGAAAGATTTCGCCCCTTCTACTCAATGCAATCACGTCTGATGGGTCAATCTCTAATGATCTGTTGAGATCATTTAACGCGGCATCATTTTGTCCAAGCATACGAAGGATTTCGCCCCTTCTACTCAATGCAATCACGTCTGACGGGTTAATCTCTAATATTGTGTTGAAATCTTTCATAGCTTTGCCATGTGAACTAAGCGCAAGATAAACTTCTGCCCTTTTATGAAGTGCCCGCACATTATCTGGTTCAATCTCCAATGTTTTGTCGAGATCCTCCAATGCATAGTCATACTGTTCAAGTGCGTGGTAAAGAAATGCTCTTGTACATAATATCCATGCATCGTTTGGATCAATCTCTAACGACTGGTTGAGATCTCTCAATGCCCTGTCATAATTTTCAAGCATGCGAAAGACTTCTCCTCTTCTACTCAGCGCAAATGTATCATCCGATTCAAACCTCAACGATTTATTGAGATACTCTAAGGCCTCGTCAAACTGTTGAAGCATACGCAAGACCTCCCCCTTTCTACTCAATGCAAATGTATTATTTGGTTCAATCTCCAACGTCCTGTCGAAATCCTTCAATGCAAGGTCATCTTGTTTAAGCATATAATAGACTCTGCCTCTTCGACTTAACGCAAATGCGTCGTTTGGTTTAGTCTCTAGTGCTTGGTTGAGATCATGTAATGCGGTATCATATTGTTTAAGTATGCAGTATACGTATCCCCTTCTACTCAATGCATTCGCATTCATCGGGTCAATCTCTAGTATTGTGTTGAGATCCTTCATAGCTTTGTTAGGTAAATTAAGCACAACGTAAATGTCTGCCCTTTTACTCAGTGCTCGTGTATTATCTGGTTCAATCTCCAATGCTTTGTTGAGATCGTTCAATGCATCATCATACCGTTTAAGTGGGTAGGAAAGAAATGCTCTTTTACGTAATGTCCATGCATCGTTTGGTTCAATCTCTAACGATTTGTTGAAATCATTAAACGCCTTGTTATACTTTCCAAGCATGCGATAAACTTCCCCTCTGCTACTCAGCGCAAATGTATCATCCGGTTCAATCTCTAACGATTTGTTGAGATAAATTAAGGCATCGTCATACTGATTAAGCACATTAAAGATATCTCCCTTTCTACTCAATGCGAATGCATTATCTGGCTCAATCTCCAACGCCCTGTCGAAATCTTTCAATGCAATGTCATCCTGGTTAAGCATACAGTAGACTTTGCCTCTTCGACTCAACGCGAATACGTTATTTGGTTCGATCTCTAATGATCTGTTTAGATCATTTAATGCGGCATCATATTGTTCAAGTACGCAGTATACGTCTCCCCTTCTACTCAATGCAAATGCATCGTTTGGTAGCATATCCAACAATGTATTGAAATCGCTCAATGCGTTAGTATATTCTTTGAGCAAACAATAGACTTCTCCTCTCTTTCTCAATGTCCATACATGGTTTGCTTCAATTTCCAATGACTTGTTGAAATCATACAACGCATAATCGTATTTTTTAAGCGTTAGATAGACATCTCCTTTTCTGCTCCATGCAAACGCATCATCTGGTTCTAAATCCAATGACCGGTTGAGATCGTTCAATGCATTATCGTATTGTTTCAGTGCGTGATAGACGTCGCCCCTTCTGCTTAATGCAAACGTGTCATTTGGATCAATCTTTAATGCTTTGTTGAGATCATTCAATGCGTCATCGTCCCGTTTAAGCCTATAATAAACTCTGCCTCTTCTACTCAGCGAAAAGGTGTCATCTGGTACAATGGACAATGCTCTATCGAAATCAGTTAGCGCAATCTCGTACTGCTTAAGCATGCGACAGACTTCTCCCCTTCTACTCAATGCAAACGTATCATCCGGTTCAATCTCCAATGAGCGATTAAGATCCTCCAAGGCGCGGTCGTATTGTTTGAGCATGTTGTAGACTTCTCCCCTTCTACTCAATGCAAATGTATCGTTTGGCTCAATCTCCAGCGATTTATTAAAATCTTTCAATGCAAGCTTATCCTTTTTAAGCATGTAATAGACTCTCCCCCTTCTACTTAATGAAAATGTGTCGTTCGGTTTGATCTCTAATGCTTTCGTATAATCGTTCAATGCATTATTGTACTGTTTAAGCATGTTGTAGACTTCGCCCCTCCTACTCAATGTAAATGTATCATTTGGCTCTATACTCAGCGATCTATTGAAATCGATCAATGCTTTGTCATACTGCTTAAGCGAGTGATAAACTTCTCCTCTCTTGGTCAGCGAAAATGTGTCATTCGGGTCAAGATCCAATGCCTTGATTAAATCGCTTAATGCACACTGATCCTCTTTAAGCATGTAATAAACTCTCCCTCTTCTGCTCAAAGTCCACACGTCATTCGGTTCAAAGTCTAATGCTTTGCTGAAATCGTTCAACGCTTCGTCATACTTCTCCGTCGTGCGAAAGACTTCGCCTCTTCTGCTCAATGCAAATGCGTCGTTTGGATCGATTTCTAATGCTCTGTTGAGATCAGTCAGTGCAGTTCCATCTTGGTTAAGCACGAAATAGACTCTTCCCCGTCTTCCCAATGCCCACACATCATTTGGATTAATCAGTAATGCACTATTGAGATCGTCTAGTGCATTGTCATCCTGTCTAAGCATGTAATAGACTCTTCCCCTTCTACTCAATGCCCACGTATCATCAGGTCTGATATATAATGCTCTATCGAGATCAACCAATGCTTTATCATACATTCTGAGTGCGCAATAAGCTTCGCCTCTTCTACTAAGTGCGAATACATTGTTCGGTTCAATCTCCAACGATTTACTATAATCTGTCAATGCGCTTTCATGCTGACCGAGCGTACTGTAAATATATCCCCTTCGATCCAATGCCCATGCATTATTCGGTTCAATATCTAGCACTTGATTGAGATAATCTAATGCACTATTATTCGGATCCATGTCTAGCGATATGTGTTCAAACTTGTTGCCCAAAAAGATAACGTGCCAATATAGTTTTAACTCGTGTTTCGACACGGTCGATGGCAGTTTGAGTACTATAGATGAGGAAGACGTATCCCAACTTAGAATACTGGCCAGCTCAGAACTCGATTCTATTCTATATGCCATCGTATTACAATCTGAAGACTCTAGCATTAAGAGGAGCGAATGTTCTTGCAACACCTGTCGATATAACTTGATCGCCTCAACTCCAAGTTCTTTTACCATTCCTCGTTCGATAATTACATCTCTATTTTTCGGGCTAAAGTAACCGACTTCAACAGGATTGCCAAATATTATCCACTGAATATGAATGTCTATGGTTGATACACTTTAACGTATAGGCAAGTAAGCATATATTTGTAGATTAAGAAACGATCGATTACCTATTAGCAAATGGGAATCTACTTACGGGTATTCTGTCCAGTCAATCTCGAACGCTATTTCGCATGTATTGGCCGAGGACAACCTTATTTCCACATCATCTCGTCTCTTTTCTTTTTCATAAAGTGCCCCATAAACATGGTAGGACGTATTATTAAAGGGCGCAGGAAATTTAACACGGCAGATGTCTTTACTCCACGGATCGATTATTGACTTTCCAGTGAGCAAAATTCGAATGTCGGGGACATATGTCCCAGTGACTAAATTCCGTATGGTGGGATACAAGCTTGCGAGACGCATTCTTAATGAGTTGTCTAACAATTCGTAGGTTGGAATAAAGTCTGATCGGTCAATTATAGTCCATTGGTGTTGATCAACCTGAACGAGTTGTTGCCAATTTGGTATTGATCTAATATAGAAAGAAAAAGACGTTAGAAACAACGGATGTGTTTGCTGGACGTGAATGCATGTGTCAGCATAACGCTTACTCGATTCTTATTACGTCACCATTACCCGAGACGAGATGGTCACTTTTGGCTGGTTGTATTATATCTGACCATTTTTGGTATATGCTGTCGAACGTGTAGTCATTATCATAGTCTGTCAAAGACACAATATTGTAAGTTACAGAAAAAAGAAAGAAAGAAAGAAAGAAAGAAAGAAAGAGATACCATCCCTTCAGGGCACGGAGTTTAATAGTTACCTGAAATAATTTGGTTGTCTGCTGCCGGATTAGGGTTCATGGTCAATTTAGTAGCTCGTTGGAGCTTCCCACCAAGTCGAATTCGGCGATTCCACCAATATCCATATTCAGCAAATACATCGTCTAATGCTTTGTACGGAGTGCCGCTATCGATGGCTTTAGTAATTGCTTCAACGAATTCTTTCGTTGGTTCATAATCTTCAAAGTGCATGATACATTGCCCGGCGAAGACTTGGAAGATGATGGTATTATCAGGACGAGGATTAAAATAGGGATTTTGTTTGTTTGAATTAATGAATAGCCCCAAAGGCTCACACAGAAGATCGTCAGCAGGTTTGATGTGATTTTCGTATAAGAAAGTATCTGATGCTCTGCGGCTATGGATCAAGTATACTATAGGCTCTCTTCTCGAAAAGTCTGATGATACGCGTCCCCTTAATGCTACTGCACGTTTAGGGGCAGGTTGAGCACCATCCTCGCCAATTATAAGCCCATGGTATGCTTGGACTCTGCTCAGAATTTTTAGCAAGTCTTCTTCGCTTGCCATGTTTTGTGATTATAGCGGAATTAGGGGAAAGAGTTGGGGTTATTATTGTTATCATGAATCCTGATTTGAGTTTATCAAAAAGGGAAGATGGCGGTGTCTCGTGAGGTTACGCATAAAATGTATTAAGTAAGATCGCAATTGATGAGATAAAAATAGTCAAGATTCTCCACAAAAGATTTATGCAGGTAGGACCATCCGAATAGATGTTAATATTAAAACTAGCTATTACTATAGCGGGAAAAGTCGTACCGGTACAAATATCGAATAAAGAATAATTGACGTTTTTACCAAAAGAAACATAATGAAACACCTTGGCATTTCTGTGCTACTTACAGAAGTTACACACGTCATTATTATAATAATCATTTAGAGAATATACTTATACTTACACGAAGCGGATCCGCTGTACATACCCTTCTCATTGTCATATCCAAAACAAAGATAACATACGCAACAGAATGGTCGTGTTAATATTAACGGGAAAGGCATTATATGTGATGGCACTTGACAAAATCGAAGGTTAGACCTGGAAGAACATAAACTACAAGATCATTATTCCGAGCGAGTTCCTGTTTCTGTTCCGATTTTTTTTCCTTTCCGATTATCTAATTCAGGTGATAAAAAAATGTGAACAAAAGGATAGACGACACGCGTATGCAATTATGTCAACTCCTACATATTAATATACAGGGAACATCAGCTCTATGAGAGTCAGTTCATCATCAGTTTTTAGTCGCATTTAGTTAAAGGAACAAATGACATTTCATTCCGTGTTCTAAAAATGGAAGTGGAACAAAGGACCTTAACCTGATTATGATTTTCATTTTTAACTCGTTATTATTTGTGTGTTACGTTACGATGGCGTTCAAAGAAAGAAAAACGTCTTATACAACAGAATTGGCGTCTGCAGCAAGATAATGATCTCGTGTGTTGCCAAGACTTTGATAAAACAGATGCGAATTGGTTTTAGAGAAAAATGGCATCTTAAAATTTTACATTTATGTACCTATTGCTGTATTGAGAAATGCGATTTTTTTGTCACGTCGTTGGTCCAAGCAAGGAAAGATAGAATTCAAGACATCAGGTTGTAGGAAATTTCGAAATACTTTCCTGAAGAACGGCATGCAGAGGTTTTGTCAGAGATTGTGGTTACCCCACCGTGACCGATTATGCAGGTACTCCTCAAATACTTAACTTTACAAAACAGTGAGAGAAGAAAAAAGGACGAAAGCGGATCGAATGTGAAATTGTACCCGAATCTTGCGCAGAAACGCTTGCTAAAGTGATGGATCTATAGTACGATCATTGACTATCTGCAAAGGAACAGTTTTAATTGTGCGCGTAGATAAAACGAGAATAAATGATAAACTTTTCAAAGATACAATTCTGAGAACGATCGCGTACTTAAAATTGAGAAGTAAGAAAGTCTATAGCGATACGTGGTATACTAAATAACATAACCGCGGAAGAAGCCGTTAAAAATTTCAATTAGAAAAATGACAAAACCATCAAGACCAGGAAAGAACCCAAAGCATACCATCACCATAGGAATTGGTAATCATGCTATTAAATCTCGATCAGCCAAACAAACTGTTGTCTATTTTATACTGCACATATGCCAGCTTGTGGATTTTATCTGCGCTCCTGCAAACGTGTTTATGCCCGATGGTTTCTGCGTCCTCGAAAAACAAAATCACATTTTTATAACCCAAGAGACATTCTTACCGCTTGCCTAAAAAAATACTCGGAATTGTTTCAGGCTTACACGCATACGCATTCTGACACTGAAAATTATTCTTAATATAAGTCAAAGAAAGAAACCTGTAGAGGCGGGAAGGGATGATCGGTTTACTTTTAAAGTGTTTTGACGAAAAATACGTGCTTCGTTGTAATAAGCGGGATTTTCGATATCTCCAAGTGATGTCTACTAGTTATTTGATCATAATGTGAGCATGCTGACTTCATTAGCCATAGTCAACAAATCCAACAACGACACTGCAAGTTGCGTATGAGATTATCTATAGAATTATCTCACATACAAACAAGACGAAATAATATTTTACCCATAATAATAGAAATATAGCAATAAAAAATACAACAATGTTTCAGATTTAAATACATCTGTCCCAAAAACTTATATTGCGACTTGTTAGTAACAAAGAATGTGTCAATTGGATTTGTGCCGAAGTTCCTAATGGAAGCAATTATATAAACATACTGGCTGCAATGTTATATCATGCCGTAGATGGTGTCGTAAACAAATACTTTCACTTTTGCAGGATGATGGATTTCCTTTTATTATATGTATAATATTAAATAATTAACGTACTATAAAAATTATTATTCAAAAGAATCCCGGGCACTGTATACAACATACAATTTGCCAAATCGGTATCGTACGAGACTCTAATTGACAAAGGCTATGTTTTTTTTTAAAGAGCGTGAGGTGCCAACTGAAATCTTCAAGATTTCGAACCAAAAACGCACCCTATCATCCATATTGAACGACACGTCACAGTAAAATAGCATTGTTGGGTAACAAGAACTCATGATTCTTGTTCAACACTAACTTCGTTGTCCTCTTGCGGTCTAATAGATTCTGTTGGATCTGTTGGATCTGTTGGATCTGTTGGATCTGTTGGCTCTGTTGGCTCTGTTGGATCTGTTGGCTCTGTTGGCTCTGTTGGATTTGTTGGCCCTGTTGGATCCGTTGGCTCTGTTGGATCCGTTGGCTCTGTTGGCTCTGTTGGGTCTGTTGGATCTGTTGGATCTGTTGGCACTGTTGGATCTGTTGGATCTGTTGGATCTGTTGACTCTGTTAACTCTGGCGGCTCTGTTGGATCTGTTGACTCTGGCGGCTCTGTTGGCTCGGTCGGCTCGGTCGTCGTGTCGAACTCACTTACTAGCTCTAGAAGCTTCGCATTGAATATTTCACCATTGGGCTATACGACAACATTAAAATTATTCAATAAGTACCATGTTACATTAACAATGGTGAGTTTGACAAGAAGTTGGTATTAAACGATTTCACCTCTTCTACATGTATTCCATATTGTGTGTTTATTATTAGTTCGCACATATGGTTCTCTTTCAGGTCAACCGTTTGAATTCCATATATGGGATGTGGATAACCGCGTTTCGACGCTAAATAGTATTCCAATTCACCATCCTCATTCACACCTATAAATTTAGCAATAGTTGATGAACAATAGCTAGTGCTTCATTCGCAAGTATTTTAATGATAAATAATATTATTCTTACATTCTTTGTATATTAACAACTGTCTGCCATAACTTCCGATCAACACTTCCTTCTTTGCATCCCAATCCACATCAGCAACGTGTGCACATAGTATGCTATCGTACTGCGTAGATTCTGGTAGATAGAATGGAGACGATAGACCCTTCTGATCAATAGACCTAAGTATGTAGAAACTCTCATTAGGAAGTCTGCAATAATCCCACGGTTTCTTGGCAAAAAGGCTGTGATATGAAACGATACTATAATCCTCATCGAACCATACCTGAAAATTATTGCTCGTTCGATCGCACACGTGACCACAAGATGGATGTCGCCTAAATTTTGAAAACGAATCAGTAGGTTATATTGAAAGCTCTATTCTATGAGAACTGAGCATACCTTTACTTGGGGATGACTGGAATACAACTATAGAGAATATCAGACTTGATAGGTCGGTCGATACATTCAATTTGACTCTGGCTGCAGGATAAGACGCACAACACGCATACAAAATATAAATGTAAGCGACTTTCGCAAATATTCTGTTTACAACTCTTTCTTTATTGTCCCATACCATAATTTCCGGTCGATAGATCTCTCTCCATGATAGCCAAATGCAATAGTCCATTGTTACATCCAGCTACTATGATTCTCATGTTACTAACGTCACATATCTCAAGTGCTGTAATGCTAAGATACATTTGTAATAATTGTTGTATCAGTAGATGCAATGACTCGAGAAAAAAACACAATGTTCATACTTCTCACCTAGTTCTATCAATAGCCAATTCGCGTAATAATGGAAAGTAGAGTTGATCTTTTTCTTCATCCCATTTGCCTCTGGTTGCACTCTATTTTTATGTATGAGAGATCGTTATCAATGTCTGCCATTAGAATAAAGAGACAAGCGCGCAACAAACAATCCCTCTCTCACTTCAGTGTACAAATGAGTAGTCCCGTCTAATCCGCAGACAATTATACAATTAAGTAGTTGGTCGCGTTTCTCGAATGTTGTGTAAACGACTTGTGTTGGAGTGAAATCTATCTTGATTACTTGAACGTTACCTATATAAAATCTGTCAACAACAATCTCTTAAAACCATCATGGAGACATTAAAATGACAGCCACATACGCATTAAGCGGACAAGCCCACCGTCGGATAGAATGTCTTGACAAGAATATATTCGAAGGGCAAAGTCATGGATAACTTCGTCATCTACTTCTATTTTCATTTTGGGCTTGAGACAAGAAAAGAATCAAATGGTTAGAAGAATAAAGATTAAACATTAAATTACCAGAAAATTTAAACTCATACATTGACAACTGTTAATACAAGGAATAAATTTGTCTGATTCGTCGTGAATGCAGTCAATGAAACTATCTCGCCTATTTGGTTACGAAAGCGATAACTTAATATTTTTCGGGAGAAAAAGCGCTACTCTTGAATAAACCTGCTTATCCAACCTCTGCTCCAAAATCAGAATTAATGGGCTGGTTTTGTTTTATTCTTACCGCCATCTTCACCAAGTGGTAACTCGACCACTTTCCAATGATTACTTGCATTGATCAAGCAAACGACATTGTGAAATGCACTGACAAAGACAAGATTCTTAGTCTTTGGAAACAATTGCGTATATTCATCATTTGCATAATCAGAGGAATTTACATCAGACGGCGGGGATGAAATTGGGATTGAAACTACTGACAACCCATAAATATTTCTATTATAATGTGTTAAGTAATATAACAATGAGTGGGACGTGAGTACGATATCAACAGCTTATGTTGCAAACGCACGTTCTGCCGCCCGATGAAAATCGATACAAATGTCTTTCGGGGTACGTTCCATTCAGCATGGTTAAAAAGTCTTAATTTAAAAGATCACCATCATTAGATAAACTCTATCTTTCTTACGTAATTTTATATTTGTGTTACCATACCATTGCCGATTACGTGAACCAATTTTCATACGTATTGTCAGAGACAAATGTTCCGAATTCAATTACTCCTTCTTCTAAAATGGTGTTAACGGAATATCTATGGCACTTGGCGCTCCGACTTCCAATGACAGAGTCAAAGCCAGGCTCGACTAGTCTAGGAATTGCTGAAGACGACGGAACAATAAAAAGCGATGATCCACTTGTACGTCAACGCGACGAGTCTTTATATCATGCACAAAGAGAAATCTTACTGACTATAGCGAGATTCGACGTGCCCAATGAACAGAAAGGTACGACAAGCTACTATAAAAGGTTTGTTGACAATTATTACAGAGTGATTCTAAACCCAGTGTATATTAGAACATTTACACTGTTCCGTACACGATATTTTTAATCAACTCAGAATGGGTTGAACTTACATGCGGAAGTTGCTTGGCGATTGGATCGCTAGCTTCGCTTTACTTTTTCACATACCCTTTCTTCGTGGCACGCACTCGTCACCAGGTAATGTAATTGATTTACCGCTTTACTTGATAAACTCGCCACATTCTTGTCACATACTCATTATGGTCTTTCGTTCCATCTTAATCTTTGGAATCACCCAAACAGGTCTACCCAGATGTGTTTGAAAATCACTATGCATCACCACTGGATTACTTGAAATATTTACGTAGTGTGGGGCAAGCGCGTGGATACGCGAAAATATGGAGTGGATTCAAACTACAAGTTATATATCATTCGCTGGTGCTGGCTCATGATACGATAGCTGAGAATATTGAAATTCTTCTGAGTATGGACATAGGGAATAGTTGGTTTTGGAAGTGCGGAAAGTATTTCTTTGATCCAAGGTTAGTGAGTCTTGTGCCATTTGACAAAGAATGAGATTCGTATGATTGCCCATTATTCAATTGAAAATGCATTTAATTCGCGAATTTCAGCAGAGACTTTATATCCTATACAATTCTATTTCCTCTCCTTCACCTTTCAACACTTCAACGTACCAACCTATCCTTCACCATTCCAACGACGAGCGCCTTTCTCCGTGCCTACTGCGCAACCATGCGTTGTCTCTTCACTTGCCCCGAAAACGCTTTCTATTTCAACAATACGCTCTTACCTGCATACTCGTATCATGCTTTCTTCAAGATTATACAATCTTACACGCGTACAAGGATATACAAAAGGATCAAGAAAAACCAGAAACGTAGAGGCGAGGAGAGTCTGTTTTACGAATTCTTCCCCAATTTTGCTAGCTCGCTTGCCGGTCATTTGTTGGGAACGGCGTTGTTATACCCGTTAGAGACAGTAGTGCATAGATTGCTCGCTCAGGGTAATGGTGGAATACCCGGTGCCCCGGGTGTGGTAAAGTATGAAGGGATATGGGATTGTATTAAGCGAGTGTATCAAGAAAGCGGTATTTTGGGGTTTTATAGGAGTATGCTTGGAGGATTTTTTGGCGAGGCTTTGGTTGGATGGCTGGCGTTAGAGACTACGTACTATGTTTTTAATAGAATGCATAAATGGATCAAAGACGCGTATCCGCATCCACCTTCCCATCCGCGTCTTGGTGAACGAAACGATGAATACGAAGGAAGAAATTGATTTAAAAGAATTGTCATCTATCTTAACGCGGAGGGCGTTATTCTTGGGTAATAATGTAGATACCTCGTATATTTTTATAGAGAAAATTTTCATTAGATAACCAATTATTCGGTCAATAGTAATAGGAACCATATGTATATTAATTTTAACAAAGGTTTGTTGGTCAAAACTGCAGCCGTTTCGATCATTGTCTATTTCATCATTCGAATTTCCCTGCCGTTTAATATTTGACTTTTTTTCCTCCCTAAAGAATTTGTTCCTAATAACAAATATATCTGAATATAGACCAGACCATGCAAATTCTCAATACGATCACGCTGTTTAGCTATTTAAGATTTCATACGCAATACAATAAATACTGGCTCATCTTGTCAGTGAATGCAACATCCCGAGTGTTAACGTGAAAGGCCTGCTGTATTGATTGGAGGAACAACCATCGACGAGACGCCAATAGAATGTTTATCATCAGCGGAATTTTCTTAGTATGGAGGACTTCTTCTCTAGGACAGCTACATAAAAGACGATTTTCCTAATACTAATACTGCAGGCCGTCATTATTGAAAGCTATTGATCCCTCCTGGAGACGAAGCCAAGGAATATGCTTTCACAAAAGGGTGCGCCATTGGATAATAGCCGACAAGGGAACATTAATCTGGGCAGATGCTTCCTTCAGCCTTGGGGCGTGGTTTGGTCCCTAATGAAATGTTTTAGGACAGATTTTCATAGTTAAGCCTGGACCCAATTGTTCGGTTCGTTTGATGTAGTAACTGGTAAACTTGTTATGATTGCTAAAGTACAGATTAAAACAAAGTTTAATTTTAAAAACGTTGCTTACAATTTCATTTAATAAATGCCCTATTGCACACCACCTTCTTTTGCCTACTCTGAACTGTGTGGAATATGCATTCTCTTCCCCTTTTTTACATCCATCAGTTAGAGTATTGTCCAGGTCAGACCAGTACTCATTCGTAGTCAGCAATTAATTAAGTTTTAATTTATTGTATTCATCATAGAGTTTCCTCTTGTACTGAGTATTGATAAATTCCTTAGCAAAGGCTAACTTCACTTGATTATAAATAGTAGTAGCTCGCGAGTAGACGTCTGAGAGGAATGTGGGTAACTGTAGTTTCTTTCTTCGATGCTAGTGATGGTTATCTGGTTGCTGGGATCTGATATATTCTCATTGGTCAATCTTCACGGTTTATTTCCGTCTATTTTAATTTATTATTATTATTATATCCAAGACGGCCAATTTAAAGATGGTTCAATCGTAGGTGTAGACAGCAAAACTCCAATTTAAAGATGGTTGGGAATCATCTGGCACTATTGTTGGAATAATGACGTTATTAATCCTATATTCGGCGGTTAACGGGTCAAATAATACTCTGCAATTTAGTCTCCGGTGCGGTGGATATGTTCGAAATCTAAGTTAAACGTTGCACACGGAACTAGTTATAATATTAACGTTGAGAATGTTGTACTTGAAAATTTCTTATTCAAACGATGTCATTAGTTCCAGGAGTTAATAATCCAGCAATTGACAACTTAAGACTTGAATGGATTCCTTACGAAGAAATCGTCCATTACGCTCATCGTCGTTACCCTTTTGACGTGCTGTTGTTATGCCTTGGAAACAGCGGAGAATGTACACAAATATTTGTTAGTGAGTTTGCTAGATTATACTCACTTCCAACACACAAGCACGATAGTAATAGCAACAACTTTAGAAGATATTCCAAATGGCTTAAGGAGCGCAATGGACTCATAATCGGATTTACCGAGTATGGCGATAAATATTATATGGTTGCTGGTAGACGTTTTTACGATTGTTACTCTCGATATGGATTCTGCTCCGCATGTGGAATACTCCGATGTAGTCCCGTGTGGTGCATTTGTGGACATAAAGAGTTATCCGATCGATGGACTAGCAACAATAAGCAACTCGATGGGTTTATCAAGAAATCTCAATTACAAGCAAACTCACCAAATCATGCCTATTTGGAATGGATTCCATTCGATTGTATTGATGATAGGGGAGAGTATGCATTCTTGGATGGTCTACCTACTTATGAACAGGTTACATTGGCTCCGCTTGAAATAACAGATGAGACAGATTGTGACAACGTAAACTATTTACTTATGCGTCATGTTTATTGTGAATAGTTTAAATAATTATTGACTTTTATGTATCATTTCCCCTATCTATGTGATGAGTGTCCAGATATGCTTGACACGGATGTTTGGGCCATCGGATTCACATACGATGCAAGTAAACAAAAGTATTGTCTAATAAAACGTGAGGATGGATTATGTCTGGCATGTACATATCAATATCAATTAACCCCCGAGATAAGTGCATTCTGTTATCGGTGTAAAGCACCACGACCTCTTGATTGGACTACGGGCAACAAATCCTTGGATTCATTTATTATGGAATCATGGACTAATATGGAGAATAAGTATGATGTATATATACAATGGATTGAATCCTCTCTGTTGACAAACGTACAGGAGATGACATCATTACGCCATGGATGCACACATATAGCAGATTGGAGAACAAATGAATTGACACGCGTGACACTCAAAAAGACAGTTAACGAACAAAACGATCAGTTATTTGATTTTCATCAGGTAAATTATTTCACGTGTAAAATTATTAACATGTGTATCTAACGACTGTATTATGTATTTGTTTACTCAAATAGCTAACCAAGGAATACCCCGACATATTAACACCCGAGAATATTTGGATAATTGGGATCACTCGGGAGCCATCTACTCGGGAATATTATTTAGTCTTCTACCATGAAATACGTCCGATATTGGACAAAATTATACACCGTTGCTATAATACTCCTGTTGATATCATGCAGTATAGCGACTTTGACGAAATTAAGAAAATTGGATCTGGAGGTTATGGAACAGTTTATACTGCCAAATTAAAATATGGAAAGTATTTAGAAGTAGATGGTATGCGACAAACTGTTGCACTCAAACGGTTTAAGAATTTTGATGAAACGCCGGAATTATTTATTTCCGAGGTAAGCAATAATTGGTAGTATTAATTAAAGTGATATTT